TTTCTTCCTGGGATATTTTTTTTTAATTTTTTTTAGTTTTTTTTCATCCCTCACAGGACACTGCCAGAGCCCTGGTAAGGCTCCCTTGAGCACCAAGAGCTGCTCCACATCTCTGCTGAGCAGCTGGGGCTCCGAGCACTCCCTGAGGCTGTTGGCCCACCACTGTCCTCTGGGTTTATCTCAGCTCTACCCCCAGTTTTGTCACTGTATCCTTCAATCCCCTCTCTCCCCATAAAAGTGTCTAGCTGTCTCTTAAACTCACTTTACCATTTGCTTCTTTGACCTCGCTTGGCAACTTATCCTTGTGTTTATTATTTGAGGTGGAATAGTTCTGGCTGCATTCCTGGTTTTACTCTTAATTGTCTAATTTTTAGAATGGTGTCAGTGGGGTTGGGGTTTGGGTTTGGGCTTTTTTTAACTCATCACTCTTGTGACCAGCTCTTCTGTTTCATTAGGCTCCCTTGTGTCATCAGGGCTTCCAATAACTCAAAGAATCCTAATGAATCTTTTATTGGATCTTCCCAAATATTGCAGCTGGACTTTCCTGTCCATTAGTGCCATTCTGAACTGCATGCACTGCCTTTAATTACTATTTTGATAATTGGAGGGCAGGGAGGGGAATGAGGGTCTTCCCCAAACAAGGGAAATCTCAGTGATTTTTCCTGCTTGTCCCAGGGGGAATTTACAAGCAGGGCTCAAGCAGGGCAGAGCAGCAGAACCTCCCCAGGTCCTCTGGCAGCTGGTGCCACCTGTGCCAGCTGGTGGCCTTTGGGTGCCACCTCGTGCTGCTAGGGGGACCTGAGGATTTGAGGACCTGCTCCAGAGTTTTTCCCTTGGGCTTTTAGAGAAAGTGCAGGGAGCAGCTTGCTTACTGTGCTGGGTTTGCTGTGGGGTCCTGTGGGTGACAAAAACACAGCAGGCTTCTCTCAGAAAACTCCCTTTTCTGGGGAGCAGGGAGGAGGAAAAAAACACTGGTTTGAAGGCACCTACCTGCACCTCCAGGAACTGTCCCCAGCTGCTGAAAGGTGGGTTGGTGGAGCAGGGAAATGAATCCTACTGACACCCTGAAACAGATAGGCCTGGTTGGAGTGGCTGCTGAGATGGGCAACGTGCTTAACACACCAAGGAGAAGAAGAGAGAAGGAAAGGAAAAAGGAAAAGGAAAAGGAAAAGGAAAAGGAAAAGGAAAAGGAAAAGGAAAAGGAAAAGGAAAAGGAGAAAAAGAGAAGGAGAAGGAGAAGGAGAAGGAGAAGGAGAAGGAGAAGGAGAAGGAGAAGGAGAAGGAAAGAGAGGGAAAGAGAAGGAAAGAGAGGGAAAGAGAAGGAAAGAGAAAAAAAAAGAGAAGGAAAGCGAAGGAAAGAGAAAGAAAGAGAAGGAAAGAGAAAGAGAAAGAAAGAGAAGAGAAGGAAAGAGAAGGAAAGATAAGGAAAGATAAGGAAAGAGAAGGAAAGAGAAAGAGAAAGAAAGAGAAGAGAAGGAAAGAGAAGGAAAGATAAGGAAAGATAAGGAAAGAGAAGGAAAGAGAAAGAAAGAGAAGGAAAGAGAAGGAAAGGGCTGCTTCTTTACACGCCCCCCCCCCTTCCTTTACAGGCATCATCACCTGTCTGCAGGATGGGTTAGCTCCAGGTGGGTTCCCTAACTGCAGCAGCCTCCTGCTTGGCCAGCACAGTCCATAGCCATGGAGACATGCTCCAGGAGCAGATCCTGGGGCTACAAACCCAGGCAGGCTCACTCTGGTGCTTTGCTGGATTCACCTACCTCAAAAATATTCATCCAAGTCAGCTCTGATGGTTGACACCATCAGAGAGGGAGGAGATCACATTCCCTTTCCTACTCAACATATGGTATCTCATGAAGTGGCAAGAAAAAGGAGAAATGTTTTCTATATAATGAACATTCTCCATTTGGGGGAGCTACAGAAGCCCTGGGACAGGAAGAGGGTGCCAATCCCACTGAGACATTAACCATCAGCCAAAACAACATCAGTCACCATGCTCAGTTCAAGAACACAGGGCAGAGGCATGAAAGATTTGCTCAATTAATTGTGGGATTGAAAATTTTCCAGAGAGCTGAGGATACTTGTAAGATATAATAGAGTGCAGCCCCCTCATCGCTCATGGGGAGGTCAAGCTCACAGAAACTCAGCCGGCTGATCAATCTGTGCATGTCCCAAAAAGAGGAATTGCATGCTGCAAGAGCCAGCATCTGGGGGCTGCTTCTGAGAAATCCATGCACTAAAGCACTTCCATAACAGTGGCTTACCTTGCTGATAGAATCCCAAAAACAGGGCAATGAAAGGCAGAGACGTGAATGCCTCTCTTAACAAACACCATAAAATAACCGGGAATAAAAATGTTAAAAATCTTGTAAACGTTTACCATCATCCTCTCTGTGCTTGGCAGGTTGGGGGGCACAACGGCCATCAAACAGCAGAGCAGCAGTAAGTCTTTGACTGAGAAAGTGGTGACAGCACAAGCAAAAGGACATGCTCTGTCACTCATCAACCCACGCTCCATTTTTTGTAGCCATCTACTATTATTATTTGGCATGTGATTCCCCAGGCAGCAAACCATGGCTGTAGCTATTTACAGGTCACTGGAAGTCTGGCCTGTGCTGCAGTGGAGTTTTGGTTGTATTTCACAGAAGATAGTTTTATTTATGTTTGACTGATGCAGGCAAAAACCGGAGGCTGATTTTTCTTTTTTTGGCTTTTAGTATAAACACTCATGGCAGCTCTCTATTTTGGGTGCAGACTGAAAAACAGTTTTGTAGTTGCCGAGAACTGCTGGGTAAACCAGAGGACATTGTTATTGCAGCTGAGCTTTTCTTTCAAGAGAGCAGGAGGAGTTGCTTTATTTTTTAATTCTCTGCAGTTTTACATACACTGTTCGCTCCAAATATTTGATGTTTGCCACACTTGTTATGAGTTTCTCCAGAGAGATGCTGTCTTTTGGCAGCAAAAGATAAAGTTGACTGATACAAATGAGTCACAGTACCCCAACAGTAATTAACAGTGATGCAATACCCAGGCGAAAAAGAGGACTTGAAGAATTAACTGTTGAGTTTTCTTGACGATGCAGCTGCACTCTAAGAGAGAAAGCTCAACCCATCATAGGACTCCATTGTGTACATTAGAGAAAAAAAGCTTGGCAAGATACATTAAAGATTTTTTGCTAAAGAGATACAAATATTTTGCAAGGGCAAAGGGCGCTGAGGCAGGCTGTACTTACTTCCAGAGAAAAGCAGGCAGGATGACAAAGAAACAGTAATATTTCTTTATCTTCGTTTTCACACTTCATCATCTATGAAAGACTGTCTTTTCCAACCTGCTGAACTGATTTAAGCCACCCCAACTCTAAATTAACTTTTACTTAAAAGTCACTCTATGACATCCTAATCTAAGAAGTTATCTGTGCTTATGGTTTCAGCCCAGTTCTACAGAAGGCCAGTTCTGCTATTTATAAATGGGATTTTGCTTGTTCCCTAAAGTTCTTGCACAAATCTCACGGCTCGAAAGAGAAGGAATGGTTGGCTAAGGAGACGAAGGGTTGAAGCAACTGCTTTATAGCACAATATGAAACTTGACACTGTTTTCTGCTGCCAGTATGATTCCCAAGTGAGATGGATAAATTGTGGTCAAGACCTGGACAGGTTAACTAGTGGTCATCAGTGCTGGTGGTACCTTTATATACAAAAAAAAAAGAAAAAAAAAAAGGATACTATTGGACAGGGCATTTGAAATTTAATACCAGACATGAAACAAGACATCTGTTGGACTCTCATTTGTTTCTCTTTGAATGGGCTTTAATTGAAAGCTCAGTGAAAAATGCAGGTTACATTCTTAGTGTTATCAATAGTTTGTAACAGCAACAACATCAGAACAGTGATGCTTCTAATATTTATACATTTTCTAGTTGGAGATGTCTAAGAGCAATACATTATCAGATATATATATATACACACAATTTCAAGCAATTAAAAGTAAATAATAAACCCCTCCTCCCAAAACCCTGAAATAATATATTTCCTTACACTAATAATGTCTTTTTCACATATACTTGACAAAGAGTCTTTTTTAAGTTACTTATCTTAAGAGAAATCTGTTAATGGAGATCCTGGACCAGCCCCATTAGAAGTTCAGTTTTAAGTTTATACAGCTTGCTAGCCACATAACCAGTGTGGCTTTACATTGTAAACAAATCCCAAATGTCTACAATGATTGAAATTAGTTTTGTGTAAAGGAGATCTATGCATCTCATGATAGAATAAATTTAAACCAATACATTAAAAAGAGAGAGAGAGAAAGAGAGAGCTAATTGACAAACAAAACAGTTTTAAGGGTTCAGTTATGCAATTCTTTAAAAACCAAGTTAACTTAATGGTAAGATTCTTATTTTTTTGTACAGAGAGGCTCTGGTTCATCTGGCTTTAGCTGCTCTAGAAAGACAACCTTAAAAAAAAGGTTTGACTAGTGACATTTAAAAAGCAGACCTTCCAACTCTAAAAGGGTTACCAGGAGTGTTTCAGGTGACTGTTCCTTCATCTTGTGAGGAAAGCTGTACTAGCATTCAGGAGCCTCAGCAAATGCAGGGGTGATGTAAGTGTAGAGCAGACCTTCAACAGGGAGGAATCATCCTACCCACTGCAGGAATTAAAAAGGTACAGCAATTTGTACCTGGAAAAGTTCAAGTGAAAACAACACAAAAGAGCTGGAGACGGACATGAAAGCTGAGCACAGTTTATATAGTAATCTTGAAACTGTGGAGGTCTTGCCTACTTCTGTACAAAACCACAAGTAAAAATCTCTTGGACTTATTGGCTAGGAACTGGTGCAGCTCCAAAAGGAAGGCCAGGCTGAGCAGAATCCTACGTTTTAGTTAACTTGTGTCAGATAGGATGCGAAGGCAGCTGCAGCTCTCTGACAGAGGTGATCGAGGATGGCTGAGAAAGTTTGCAGTAGCTTATAATGTCCCATCTGGTTTTGTCACTTGTTTGAACTGTCTAAAGGGCCAACTGCAGTTTAGTCATGTTCCTCTGGTGCATGTTGTGATGACGAACTAATTCATCAGACCTGGCAAATTTTTTTTGACAGCTGGGCCACCGGCAACTGAAAGGCTTTTCACCTGTTAACAAAACACCCTGTTATTAGCTGAGCACACAGCTCATCCGAGACACTGCTGGTTGTTTTCTTCCTGTGGGGCTGTGAGGAGCTGGCAGAGCCCCTGTCAGCAGGAAAGGCACCCTGGGCTGTCCTGAGAGGGCCTGGGAGTGCCCCCAGCTCCTGCTCACATCAGCGCTCGGCGCCTTCCTACCTCTGCCTCAGCTGATGTTTACCAGCAGCCTTTCCAGGTGGTGCAGGACACTCTGCAGTGGTTCACTCCTGAGGACAGGCCCTTGCTGAGCACCCTGCTGCCATCGTTATGCTGCTCTTAGCTCTCGAATGACCAAGGCTCAGAGTCACCCTGGCATCCGCACAGGCTTCAGTCACACCTCCGCGGCGGGGCAGGCACACTGTTAGTCACTGTGGAAACTCTCAGGGACTTTCTAGAGCTTGACCTCCAGTCAAGGGGAGTTTTTCCCAGCTAATTCAATGAGTTTTGGCTGAAGTTCTTTGAAACTGGTGAGTGTAAGTGAATATGGTAGAAGCAACGGGGTTCAGCACAGAGTCTGCTGAGCCAAACGCAAAGTTTTCCAGCCCTACCTAAATAAAGTGGATTCACAGCTATGGGAGATGTCAAATGCTCAAAATAGCATTTTTCTAACATTTTCATGGGCATAATATTCACTGCAAATAACTCTAAGCAAAGCACATTCAAATTTAACAAGAAATGCCACCACTTTTTCACTGTTTAACCTGGTCTCCTGATTTCCTGCAGTGTGTAAGTGGAATTTCAGGCTGTGTTTGTGATGCTGCAGGAATGCTGATGGAATGCTTCTTTCACTAGCTCAGAGCAGTGCCCAGTGACTCATGCTTCTTCTTCTTTTTTTTTTTCCCCTCAAAATAAATGCAATATTTTAAAGTATGTTGAGCTCTGGATCTGGGCTCTTCAGTGCTGTCTACACACCTCATGCTCTCTAACACACTCCAGACATGCTGGGATGGTGGTACAACCTCACCCAGGCATCTTCTCTTCTTATTTACCTCACACTCTGGGCATTTCACAAACCTGATCTAAATTCAGACAAAAGGAGATTTGCATACATGTGTTTTTCTGTTTGCAAACTCCCATGTGAGGTATTTAAGCGGAAAGGGAATTCCTAAAATCTACTTTATCTACTGGCAAAAGCATCAACTGTCTCCCACAAGTGCATAAAAGAGTGGGGGGAAATGGTGCAAATATCAGGGATCACATTTCCATTGCTGAACATGTCTATGGATGGATAAAACTTCCTTTGATCATTATTTCTGGGGTTTTTTTTTTTTGTTTGTTTGTTTGGTTTTTTTTCTTTCAACAGCAAAGATTGCTGTCACAGTGAAATTGCTTGTGAAGAAAAAAAGTCCCTGAATCCTAACAAATAGTTTGGGAGCTGAGTAAAATTGGGATAGAATTGCAAGGAAGTCACTTTTGCTTTTCTTCCTCAATGTGGAGCAAGGTAACTTGGGCTGGGTGCTTTGTCACATCATTCAAGGGCTATGAGAAAGAAGAG